AGACTCTAAAATAAAATAAAATCAAATAAAAACCCAAATCAAATAAATGGGACTTTGTTCACAAACATTAAATTCATAAATCATCCATATAGGTAGTTTATTTTTTTGAAAATAAACACGCAAATACTATCATACATCATGTAGAAATAAAACATGATAAACATTTAGGAAAAAACAAATACTCGCATTCATATCCACAATAAGCATCTTGTTCATAAAACATGCATTTTGGTTTTTAGAAAATGGAGGGGACTAGTAGAAAATTGAAGAAAGTGGACATTCCCCGGTACCATACTGAAAAGCTGGAACGACTTTGTGCGATAATGCCACCAGAGGTCCGCTCCGACTTCGAGAAATCCTATGGACAGATTCTTGACCTATTGAAGATCTGTGTCAATCCCATTTTTATTAGAGTTCTAGTTCATTTTTGGAACTCTAGTCTGCACTGCTTCGAATTCCCGCAGTTCGATATGGTGCCTACTTTGGAGGAGTATGAACTTATGCTAAAATGGCCCAAATCAGTCGGGGTCCATATTCGCCACGGGGCATATACTTCTGCACCACAAGTCGCTGCCATCATTCGATTGCCATTCCGGCAGACTACTCTGATAGAAAAAGGGAACATCCAGGGTTGGAAAGTCTCAATGTTAGAAGACCATATGTCCTCTTTGGCTGAAAGGGCAGAATGGAACAATGGGAAGCCAACCAATTATCCTGGGTTTGCCCTTGGTTCTGACCCAGCCCAGTCCTCATCAGATGTGGGGATTACCCGAGCATACCGTTGATAGGACTCAGGGGTTGCATAGCCTATTCACCGAGAGTAGTTATGAGACAACTCATGAGGACCCAAACTGCAATATCCCGAGAAGAGCTCGGAGGACTGTGTTTCTTCGGAGACCCATGCACAGTCGCTAACTCACTGGCTGTGAGAAGAGCGTGGGAGAAACCAGTCTTTATGGGAGATAGAGAGCTAGGAAAAGCTCGAGTGGATGTCTCCAGCGAATATGAGGAGTGGAGACGAAAAAGAGGAATGTTGCAACCATCCACCACACTCGCTACATGTTCAAACAGTGAAGAGCTACGAAATCAAGTCGACGCCTTGACCTGGAGGATAGAAATCATGGGAGCCCAGATGAGGGCCCTTGAAGAAAGAGAGCAAGAATCTATCCTCACCATAGATGGTCTACGAAGGCAATGCAAGAAAAAGGATCATGAAATAGAACGCCTCAAGGATTAGTGTGCTGATTCTAACGAGCAAGCTATCCGAGCATCCAAAGTAGCTAGAACCAGCTCGGATAGCCAACTTCAAGGAATAACCATCAAATCAGCACACCTTGAGGCCGAATGCACGAAACAGGCTCAGACGATCAAGGATTTGCTACAAGACCTCACAAGGACTCAGTCAAAAATACGCCAAGAGCGAGAGGCCAATCAGAGGCTTAACAGAAGTCTCGCTGAGCTGTGCTGCAAAGAAAGAGATGGATTAGCTCAGTATGGTCAAGTACTACGAGAAAAGGACTGAGCCCTTACAAAGCTCGACGAGCTGCAAGCCTTGGTCATCCATCAAGAGGCGAAGATTCAAGAGGCTCAAAAGTACAGTGAAAATATGAGCCAGGTGGTCCAGAAGCAAAGCGAAGCACTCGCTTGTCACATTCGAGAAGCCGAAAGGGAATTACATAGAGGTCAAGACTCGCCTGTGGGTTTCTTTAGGCTTTTCCGTTTCTATCAGAAGTTGCTTCGTAGTATGGAATAGGGGAATGTACACCTTCTACAGATAAATGAATTTTTTCTTATTTGAAAATTGTCTACTTGTATGCATATTATTCATTTGCATATTTAACTTCCCCTCCTTCACTTTTAATAAACAAGATAATAAAAAAGAAGGATTAACTGACACGTCTTCCAAATTAGAAGAATGGAGAGAAAGCCTCTTTTAATCAAGCTCTCCCCAATGGTGGATCCATCACAAGAGGATAAGCCTCGACCATTGGTTCTCAAAATCAATAAGGAAGAGGAGACAACGACACCTGTGCGACTATTTATGCCACGTCCTTTCCCCTACGAATCAAATAAAGTTGTACCTTGGAGATACGGGGAATCTTCACCAATAAAGGAGGATATCTCCAATATAGCTGACATTGGGGGCATGACTAGAAGTGGAAGGATCTACTCCCCCAAGGACTTACAAGAAGATGCCCCCAAAAATAAAGACAAAAATAAACGGACTGAAGAAAAAGAAAATAAAGAATCCAAGGAGGAGACCGACGAATTACTCCAATTCATAAGACAAAGCGAGTATTCCATTATTGACCAGCTCAATCATACACCTACAAAGATAACTTTGTTATCTCTAATGATGAGCTCGGAACCGCATAGAAACGCCCTGATGAAGGTCTTGAGCGAAGCGCATGTACCTCATAGTATATCCCAAGAAAAGGTTGAGAGGATCGTCGGTCACATTACGACAAGCAATCACCTCACCTTCACAGGGGAAGAACTCCCTCTCGAAGGGTCAAGCCACAACAAGCCCTTGCACATTTCCATCAAGTGCAAGGAGTACCTCATTGCTAAATTTCTTGTGGATAATGGGTCATCCTTGAACGTGATGCCCAAGTGCACACTCGATAAGTTGACTATTCAAGGAACCCGTCTGCGTCCAAGCAGCACTATCGTTCGAGCCTTCGACGGATCCAAGCGAGAAGTAGTGGGGGAAGTGTCGCTGCCGTCAAAAAGAGGCGGTCGGAGCGACGCGATGGTTTTGACTTTCCAATTTTCGCATTTTTATGGGTGATGTTACAACGCCTTTAGGTTGTCCGATAACCGGGCCGAACCTAGAGGCGAGGTTTTCGAAAGGATGTTCTTGGATTGTCTGATAACCGGGCTAACCCAAGAACTAATTTGAAAGGGTTCTTATGGAGTCGCCACCGATGTTTTTACCAGAAACATCGAAAAAGGGGTAAAAAGGCGTTGGTTTTCGAAAACCAACTTTGGTCGTTAAAACCAGAGTTAGGTATGAAGCACTTGTTGGATTTGATGAAGACATATAGAGTTTATTTGTGGGTGTGTAGGTAGATAGGTTATAGGTTTAGAATTTAATCTCTTGATAGTTTCAGTAGATCTTGTGATAAGCACCTATAGATGTTGCATTTCATGGAATTTAACTAACTGCATGAAAAACTAATCTTTAAGCATTAAAAAAACAAACTGAGTTTTTCAATCGGTTAAAAAGAAGTTTCAATCTGTTAAAATCACTTAAAATAGGAAATGTATATATACAGTCAAAATTTTAGTTGATCGAATCGCAAAATCAACAGGTTAAAATGTTCTTGATGGTTTTTCCATATTAAGGGTTTCGCAATTTTAATCTGTTGAAATCAAGTTCAATCTGTTGAAACAGAGAGATGTCATTTTTCATTTTAAAGTATCTCAGAATTTCAATCTGTTGAAATAAGTTTTAATCTGTTGAAACAGAGAGATCATTTTTTCATTCTAAGGTATCACAGAATTTCAATCTGTTGAAATAAATTTTAATCTGTTGAAACAGAGAGATCATTTTTTCATTCTAAGGTATCACAAAATTTCAATCTGTTGAAATATATTTTAATCTGTTGAAACAGAGAGCTACCATTTTTCTTCTAACTGTTTCAATCCATTGAAAGCTTGAATTAACCGATTGAATGAGTTTTAAATGAAATTAATCGATTGAAACATCATTTTAAATCGATTGAATCTATCAGTCTCTCTCTTTTACTCTATAAATACAGTTTTGATTTCTCTTTCAAACATACAATTTGGAAAACGATTGAAACCAATCTTGGAGCTCTCATACTTGTGCCTTTATCTGAGCATTCATAAACATTTCATATCATAAGGAGTTTTGATCAAGATTGTTGAAAGATCTTCAAGAGAGAAAGTTCTGAGTTAGGAAATCTACACTGGTTACAATAACTAGGTTTGGTTGCTGGGTGGTTATTCAAGAGTCTATCTTGTGGTGTTGTAAGATAGTTCTTGGGATAGATTGGTGTATATCTACTGGTTTGTATTTTCACTTGGTATTAGTGGAACTTGGCAGATTTGTCAAGAAATGGATGTAGCTCTTGGAAAGAGTGAACCAGTATAAACTCTTGTGTTGTATTTCTGCTTTCATCTCTTTTCATTTCTGGTTTATATTCTTGCTTTGTTTAAAACCAAATCTGCCTAATAAAAGATTGGATAAAGATTAATCATTCTTCCACAAGAAAGGGTGTTTTTCGAAAAAGATTTCTAAAGTTCAATTCACCCCCCCTCTTGAACTCAACCATTAATTCTTACAATTGGTATCAGAGCTGGTTCTTGTAAGTTACTCAAGAATTCGGTCCAAGAAAGGTTTAAATGGCTGAGGGAAAGATGAATTTTTCTGAAGGAGCCTCCATCAATAGGCCTCCTCTATTTGCTGGTGTGAATTATTCTTTCTGGAAGGTTAGAATGAAAATCTTTATTGAATCTCTTGATAGGGGTATTTGGGATACAATTGTTAATGGTCCTTTCAAACCAACTCATACAGTGGATGGTAAAATTGTTGAAAAAGACTGGGCTGACTTAACTGATGCAGAAAATAGGAAAGTTCAATATGATTATACTGCTAAGAACATTATTACCTCTGCCTTAAATCTTGATGAGTTTTTCAGGGTTTCTCAATGTGCCTCTGCCAATGAAATGTCAGAGATTCTAGAGGTCACTCATGAGGGTACCTCTGTTGTGAAAAGGGCAAGGAAGCATGAATTAATTAGAGATTATGAATTGTTAAAAATGCAGCAAGGTGAAACCATTGCAGATGTGCAGAAAAGATTCACGCATATAGTCAACCATCTAATTGGATTAGGGAAGACATTTGACAAGGAAGAGTTAAACATCAAAATCCTAAAATGTTTGGACAGAACTTGGAAACCAAAGGTGACAGCTATATCAGAATCAAGAGACTTAACTGAGATGACTACTGCATCATTGTTTGGTAAGCTAAGGGAACACGAGTTGGAAAGAACAAGAAAATGCAGAGAAGAAAAGAAGAAACATTGTTCTCAAGACGATTGAAGAAAGTAGTGACTCTGAAGAAGATGAATCTGAGAATCTGAATCTGTTGGTTAAGAAGTTTGGGAAATTTCTTAAGAAGAAGAACAGAACTGGCCAGGTTAAAAGGTACACTGATAAAAGAACTGATTCTATTCAAAATACTTATACTTGTTATTCTTGTGGTAAGCAGGGACACATAAGAAGTGAATGTCCAGAAAAATCCAAGAATCAAAACAAGAAAGATATGAAGTACAAAGGGAAAAAGGCCTACATAGCTTGACAAGACAATGATTCATCCTCGAGTTCTGTATCTGAAGGTGAAGAAGTGAATCTATGCTTAATGGTTGGCTGTGAATCCTCTTCATCCCATGTAAGTTCAACCCCCACAGAAAATGAAATGAATTACAACACACACTACAAGAATTTTACATATTAGCTATCACACATTCCGTAGCTATTTTATAGTTAATCTCTCGCTGGTATGTTTTGCTACAGATTAGCTACAGAATAGCTATGGAATAGTCCGTAGCTAAATCCAAGTAGCTAATTAGATACAAATGTATTCTCTCTCAAATTTGTAGCAAATTTTGTCGCTAAACTGTCGCTAAATCCCTTGCTAATTTAAATGATGAACTTTTGTTTATCCCTAGCTAATTTGATCTCCCAAAATTTGTAGCTAATCCGTAGCTAATCTCTCGCAATTTCGCTCTCGCTAATCTGTAGTTAATCCCTCGCAATTTTTCTCTCGCTAATTCGTAGCTAATCCCTCGCAATTTTTCTCTCGCTAATCCGTAGCTAATCCCTCACAATTTTTCTCTCGCTAATTTGTAGTTAATCCCTAACAATTTATCTCTAGCTAGTGGTTAATGCCTCACAATTATTTCTTTGCTAATCCGTAGCTAATCTTTTGCAATGTTTTTCTCACTATTTCATAGTTAATCCCTCATAATTTTTATCAAAATTTATAATATCAAATATTTAAGATTTAAATTATTACTCATTCTTAAAAAAGAAGACAAACTTATCAACTTTCAATATAAAAGTATTGTTTAAACATAGTTAAAATGATGTTTTAAACAATTAAAACATAACAAAAATAATATTTCAACTAAAAAGTTCTGTATAACACAATTACAAATAGAAACAAAGTTTAAAGTACGTTTTCATCATTGATACATCATCGGTCCATCTTTCCTCACCATGAAGGATCCAATTTGTGTAACCATACATAAATCCATGGTGACACAAATGTTTTTCCACATTAAATGATACATCCCAATAACGATTTCTACATTTTCCACATGGGCAAGGAATACGCCCTGCTACATCAGCAAATTTCGGGTCTCTTGTCACTATTTGAATAAAACCATTAACACCATTTCTGAATTCTTCAGTTATAATACCAAATTGATTATTTCTTTGTAACATCCATCTTCGATCTGGTTTCATTAATCTTGAAGCTGGTTTAACAAAACTAAAAATTATCAATAAGTACAATATATTAATTGGAATAATACTTTATTGAAAAAAAAATTATAATTTTTTTTGTACACTAAGAAACACAATTTCAGGAGAAAAGCAATATTTGTTTTCAGAATAAATTACGAGTCCTATTTTCAAATATCCAAGGGTACTACAGAATAAATTGCAATGCAACACTCTATCCTAAACTTGTAAAGCACTCGACCCCGTGATCTAATTATAGTGAGAAGAGAGTATAATAATATAGTTATCACGTGTCGGATGAAGAATATCGAGGATCTTGTGCTGCATTCGAATTTGTCCACTGCTTCATTCTTACAGTAAAACTTATTGTCTTAGTTGAAACCACGAATCTATTATAATTTCCAAACACTATTAATCATGAATGCACGAGTAATTATAGTCACAAATAAAATTAAACCTTAAACATATATGTTTTTTTTTTTTTCAAATCATAACAAATTTAGGAGCTATTGAGTTTTAGGTTATCTCCCACTCACAATTTATTGAACTTTGATAATATATTGGGCCAACTAAAAGTTGAAAGGATTAATTTAATTAAGACATCATGGATTTGGTGGACAAGGTAAAGTCTCTGAACCAGCGTGATTTTGAGATGAGGTTTAGACTCTTTTCTTTTGTTTAACCTTCATAAATAATTTTTGTTATGTTTTCTTCAATCAAATTATTTTTCCCACACCGATTTATTTCTTCCTTTTCTATTTCTTACTAAAAAAAACAACATAATAATAAGGCAGATATCAAGGCTACTAAAATATGGGAAAATGATTGATTTGTTAGAATCGCGCAGCGGAATGTTCGCGTGGTCGGACAAAAACCAAGAGGGGGGGTGAATTGGTTTCTTAATAAAAATTAGGTTTTCAAAATTTTCCCAAATTTTACCGATTAAAAACTGCGTAAATGTAAATAGAGAAGAGTAGAGAAGATTACACAGTAGGTTTATACTGGTTCGGATCAAAAGACCCTACGTCCAGTTGCTAATCACTCAAAAGAGGATTAACGCTGTCACTAAGAACAAATTGTTATAAACAGATTACAAATCAAAGAGATAAAGTAAAGACAACACCTCTCTTGAAATCCACAAGAGATGAAGAACAGCTTTCCCTGGAGACGGCACAGCACACAATCCACTAAGAACTCCACTTAGTGATTCTTATCGCTTCTAGCCTCACACCAGGTTTCCAAAAGCCCTGAAGAACAGCTTTCCCCAGAGACGGCACAACACACAATCCACTAAGAACTCCACTTAGTGATTCTTATCGCTTCTAGCCTCACACCAGGTTTCCAAAAGCCCCCTTTCCTTGCAACAAACAGTTCTCTGGCACTCACAGCACTTAACTTTTGTATGGAAAGAGTTGTTCTTATTTTTTCTGAGTGCCAAAGCAGAGTTTAAGTAGGGAAATTAGGGTTAAGGAATTGGGGATTTCGAAACTAGGGTTCTTGGTAATTGGGTTTTCGAAAATAGGGTTAATTTGAAATTTAAAAACAAAAACAGATCGAAATAATCGATTAAATGGAGTTTTAATCGATTAAAACAGAGCCAAATACGCAGAACCCAATCCTCTCTGGTTTAATCGATTATTTGGTGAAATAATCGATTATTTGACCTTTTAATCGATTATTTTGATGTTTTAATCGATTAAAACAGTGAGTATATGCTGAAAATGGTTTTCTCACTGTTTTAATCGATTATTTCCCTATATAATCGATTAAAGCCGAGCCTGCATGATAAATTTGAGCATTTTGAAGCTTCTAAGTTACAGACTATGTACCGGCTATCTTAGACTCTATAATTACAGACTCAATCAAACTAAAACAGAGTTATTACAATACGAAATCATCAATCTTCAATCTTCAATACTCTAAGTCTTTAAGCTCTTGGATCATCATCAAAATCAACATTCTTCATGATCATTATTTGCAACATCAAGTCCTTGAATGTTCAACAATCTCCCCTTTTTGATGATGATCAAAATTATCTTTTTAAAGCCCTTGTAATAACCTTGTTTTATCTCGTCATACTAACAAACACATTAAACATACCGAGATAAAATTTAATATTGAACCATAGGCTTTAAATTTTTCTCCCCTATTTTGATTATAATCAAAAAGAACCCTGCAACATCAATAATAAGAGCTCCCCCTCAAAATATGCATAAGTTAGAGAAAGCTCCCCCTCAATCATAGCATAAAAGAAACATCAAATTTTATTTCATAATCATTTATCCATTACAATAGCAAGACAATAACAAAAGAAAATACATAACAGATTTTAAAATTCTTCACTATCCTCATCATTAAAGTGAGTATCAAATCTATTTTCTAATCTACCCACTCTATCATCTACATCGGATATGCGACTAATAATTTCATCATGGCGTACTCCGGAAAGATTGAAGAATGATTGCATTCTTTGATTCATGTCGGAAAGCATATCTTCCATGGATTGTCTTGTTTCTTGATGAGAAGAGGATGTTCCAACACTTTGGATTTGGTTAGAGGGAAAATTATCGACTGGAGGCATATCTTCATCGAGTCTTTATTTGCATCACTTTGATTTTGAACGTCATCTTTGTGAACATAGATGTCATTGACACGCACCATTTGAAGTTGAGTCAATGTGTCTGTCCAACATGCGGTTTAAGTTGTTTGTTCTAACTGCTTGCTCACCTTCAACATTCACTCCTTTATATTCAAGAATACGGGATACAAGAAGTGCATATGGAATTTTGAAGGTGTGATGACGTTTTGCTTTAAGCATGGTCATTTTGACAAGAACACCCCAATCTAAAGGTTCATTATTCATTATGGCATGAATAATTCGAAGATCAATGGATGAGCATTGGGCATGATTCGTAGCCCGGGACATAAGATCCATACAAGTAAATGTAGAAGCATGCGTTCTTCCTTCTTTAAAGGTCCAGCATGAAGAATACGTCCAACCTCCGAGAGAGGATTCCGCAGAAAAGATCGATAAGCTAAGAACCTGTCAAAGTCATCTAGCTCACCATAAACGTTAATAGCATCTTCTCTAATGGGGAAGTGAGCAACATTTTCCCAAATATCATCATCTAGAATTATGGAAACCCCTTTTACACGGGATGTAGCAATTTGATCCCTAAACTTGAATCTAGAATAGAATACCCTAACTAAGTCAGGATAGTATGTACCTTGCATTTGGATAAACGGGAGAACTCCTTGAATTTCAAGAAGATTAGGAAAATTGAAACCCCTACGAATGAATTGCTCACCTATAAGAAATTTGGGAGAAATAATAGCTTTTTCTTTCCAGTAGGTTAGAAACTCTTGTTGGCTATCTGCATCAGAAATCCATCCTTCTACAGAATTAGGACGGGAATGAGAGGAAGATGCAGATCTTCTTCTTGTAGGAATCTTAGGGCGAGAGGATGAGGCCATTTGAAAGAGTAGATAAACTTGAAGAGATTTTGGAGACAAGTGAGGGAATAATGAAGCAAAGAGAGTATAGATTTCAAGAAAACTTGATTACAAGAGTTAGAAGTGAGTATAATTGACCTAGATGTCTCTATTTATAGAGAAAACACTTCCAACGGTCATATAGAAAAGATTTCATGGCAAAATATCCGTTGGCAACAGCTAAGAGGCAAAACTGGTCGTATTTAATCGATTATATTTCAAGATAATCGATTATTTCAATATCAGACAACTTTAATCGATTATTTCCAGTAAATAATCGATTATCAGAGGCATTTAATCGATTATTTCACGAGATAATCGATTATTCCAGAGGAGAATACCCTGTTTTGGACGTTTTGAGGGAAAATAATCGATTATCACTTCCAGTAATCGATTATTCCAGAGGCTATATCAAGTTTTTAAGGTTTTTACACATTATAACCTATGAATATCCTGCATCACGAATTTAATCATAACAATCATCCAAAAACAGTCAAATTAAGCAGAATTTAAGCTATTTCTAGTATCCCTAAGTCTCTTCTAAGATCATAGAATCTATCCTTGGGTAGAGGCTTAGTAAATATATCTGCTAATTGATGTTTAGTGTCTACATACTCTATCTTACAGTTTCCTTTGCTGATATTATCTCTTAAAAAGTGATGTCTAATCTCAATATGTTTAGTCCTAGAGTGCATTACTGGATTTTTAGTTAAGTTGATTGCACTCGTATTATCACACATTAATGGAATGTCATTTAAATATATGCTATAATCCTCTAATTGTTGTTTCATCCACAGAATTTGAGCACAACAACTACCAGCTGCAATATATTCAGCTTCAGTGGTAGATAAAGCTACACATGCTTGTTTCTTAGAATGCCATGATATTAAGGATGAACCTAACAAATGACATGTCCCACTAGTGCTTTTCCTATCAATTTTACATCCACCATAATCAGCATCAGAATATCCTAATAAACTAATACAAGCATTAGACGGATACCACAAGCCAAATCCAGTAGTTCCTTTTAAGTATTTTAAAATATGTTTTACTGCAATTAGGTGAGATTCTTTAGGACAAGCCTGAAATCTAGCACACACACAGACAGAATGCATAATATCAGGTCTACTAGCAGTTAAGTATAATAGTGATCCTATCATACCTCTATACATAGTTTGATTAAATTCCAAACCTGATTCATCCTTGTCTAAATAGCATGAAGTTCCCATGGGTGTGTTAGCTTCCTTTGAGGTGTCCATACCAAACTTTTTGAGAATCTCTTTGCAGTATTTAGTTTGAGAGATGAAAGTGCCATCTTTAAGTTGCTTGATTTGAAGTCCAAGGAAGAATGTTAATTCTCCCATCATAGACATTTCAAACTCTCCCTGCATAATCTTAGCAAATTCTACACATAACAAACTATCAGTTGATCCAATAATATATCAACAAGTATCACATCCTTGATCTCCAAAGTGTTTGCACCGCAGTTGCTTGATTGATTGCTAAAGGATGAAAACTTATATTCAATGTGTGTTTAAAAAGTTCAAGCTAAACTGTTTTTATAGACTATTTTCAAAACTGCTGGTTTAATTAATCTGTTAAAAGATTCTTTTAATCTGTTAAAAGTGCAGTTTTAATCTGTTAAAACGTCTTTTAATCGATTAAAACGCAGTGTAGAAAAAGTTTTTAAGTTGTTTTAATCGATTGAAACGAGTTTTTAATCGATTAAAAGAGTTCTGATAATAAAAATCTGATCGATCATAACTGATTCTGACCGGTCATAATAAAAATCTGATCGATCATCCTGACCCTTTAAGTGATTTTAATCGATTGAAAAATTTCTGACCGCTCATAATTAAAATCTGATCGATCACATTTGCTTCTAATCGGTCATAATTTGATTCTGATCGATCATCCTGACCCTTTAAGTAATTTTAATCGATTGAAACGTGTTTTTAATCGATTTAAAGGATTCTGACCGCTCATAATAAAAATCTGATCGATCATAATGAGTTCTAAATGGTTTTAATCGATTAAAAACATGTTGTATCGATTAAAATGCTGTAAAAACACTTCTTTGACCATTCTAATTGATTTTATTTGGTTCTTTCAAAACTGCATCAGTTAAAACCATGTTTTAAGAAGGCTTTTGTAAAAATACTTTGTTTTAGGTTGTTTAAAACAATTTTAGAGGCTTTTCGCAAAAAATCTTTAAGTGAAGAACCTTCATACAATAGAAAAGATAAAATGTTGTTACCTAAGCATTCCATTTAAAACATACTAAATGATCATTTTCTTTGAATAAATACAATATGCAAATAGTTCATTTAACTATAG